GAGTTGTGCTTGGTCTCTCACTCCTGTCTTCCGCATCTTCGTCTCCCTCCTCCGCATCGGTGGCTGACCGCCTAGATGCGGATGCTGTCAGTGTAGTGCCTCCCCTTGGAGGTCGAGTGGAGGAGCTCGATCTGCCAGCTTGGGATCCCCTCGGCGTGCGGGCTGCAGTTGTGCTTGGTCTCTCACTCCTGTCTTCCGCATCTTCGTCTCCCTCCTCCGCATCTGTGGCTGTCCGCCTAGATGCGGATGCTGTCAGTGTAGTGCCTCCCCTTGGAGGTCGAGTGGAGGAGCTCGGTCTGCCAGCTTGGGATCCCCTCGGCGTGCGGGCTGCAGTTGTGCTTGGTCTCTCACTACTATTATCCGCATCTTCGTCTCCCTCCTCCGCATCGGTGGCTGTCCGCCTAGATGCGGATGTTGTCAGTGTAGTGCCGCCCCTTGGAGGTCGAGTGGAGGAGCTCGGTCTGCCAGCTTGGGATCCCCGCGACGTGCGGGCTGCAGTTGTGCTTGGTCTCTCACTACTATCATCCGCATCTTCGTCTCCCTCCTCCGCATCGGTGGCTGACCGCCTAGATGCGGATGTTGTCAGTCAGAGAGTGATCTTCTTCCGCATCTTCGTCTCCCTCCTCCGCATCGGTGGCTGACCGCCTAGATGCGGATGTTGTCAGTGTAGTGCCTCCCCTTGGAGGTCGAGTGAAGGAGCTCGATCTGGCATCGTGGTATTCCCTTAGTGTGGGTGTCGCGTGTGGCTTTGTGGTGGCATGTCTATGAATTGCGTAGTCCTCTATGCGTTTGGGATGCTTGGTTGAAGTTCCAAGCTCCGGAGATGTTAGAGTGTTCTTTTCCCTTTTAGCACGAGTAGTGGTGCTCAAGTTGCCACTTTCTGACCCTACTGACCTGCGGGCTGCAGTGGACCAAAGTGGAGCTGTGTCTGGGGACGGAGTCGTGGGCGTACTTACTTTTGAACTTTGCGTTTTTGGTGAGGTAGCAAATCGGTTTTCCCGATCTTCTGCAGTGCGGCGTTGGTGCCGTATGCTTGAGTGAAACTGCGGAGGCTGGGATGTGAGTGTTGTACCTATAGCGATAGGGAGGGCACTGGAGCTGCGGGATGCTGCCTGCGTCGCTTGGGTGATGGACCCGTTCTGCTTCGGCTTAGCTGGTGAGCTCTGGGTATTCTCTGTATGCCGTGACGAGCTCAGTGTGTTTGCCTCTGCGGTGCTGATATTGCTGATCAGCGAAAGTATAAAGGCCTCTGCCTCCGTCGTTGTTGCAGCTGGCAAGGTGTACCGGCTGGGGAGTCGCAGGAGCTCCGTGCTGGAGATGCTGGGAGTGGTGCCTGTTTGGTCTTTTGGGGTTGGAGTTGTGGTGATGGTAAAGAGCCGCAGATCCGCCGCTGTCGTGCGCCTGTCCTCATCAGGCTCCGTAGACTTCTGGGCACCAACCGTTACCTTTGATGTTACCGCAGTAGCTGTACTAGAGGAGCTGCTGCTGTTCCTCCCCCTCGTGCTGCTGCTGCTGATGCTGCGGATGCTGCTGATGCTGCTGCTACTGCTGTGGTTGCTGCTTCCACTGCTGGTATGCTGGGAGGGTGAATATCGTGCAGCAAGGGTCATTGAAGTCGCTGCCTCTGGGAGATGTTGTGTGTGTGAAGGCTCCAAAGATGTTTCTTCCTTGGTCCCGTTCCTGCCAAGACCTGGTGAGAAGCTACTGACCGTAGAAAACCTGAAACTGCTGCCTTTTGAGCTGGTAAGGGAGGGGATGGGTGCAGAGGTGTAGGTAATGCTGCTGGTGCTCCGCTCCTCGCTTAACCGTCGTCGCAGCATGCCACCTCCTACTATCCATTCTGCATCTTCATCTTCACTTTCATCTCTGCTGGCTGTCCTGTCAGCGGTCCACGAAAGAATTCCCCCTCTCTCCGGTGGCGGATATTGCCCAGACCTGCTCCCTGTGAAGGAACCTCCAAAGCGCCTATGGGCCTGTTGACCTTGTCGAGTGGCTTGTTGGAGAGTTCCTTCGAAGGAGGGCTCCCTTCGTCTCAGCCGTGGATCCCACCCCGATACCCTGCCATTCGTTCCTGTGGGGGAATCTCCTGCCTCCTCTTCTGAAGTATGCCTTGACGAATGATCCCTTCTCACCCGTGTGCGATGTTCCCCTCCAGAAGCAATATAGGGAGGTGAGCTCCTGGAGTGCCAACCCGCTGTCCTGCTGCGCCCTAAAGAAGGACGAGTTCTCCACTGAGAGTCGGCATTCCGACGCTCATCGTCTCCTTCTGTAAAGGCCTCGTCAATGCTATCATCTCCTCTTTCCTCCTCTTCTCGAGGGGCGGCAGATAGCACTGTTGTCCTCCGGGAGAAACGGTAGTCCGGCGCAGTAGAGTGGCCTCCGCCAATTCTCTCCTCATCCCCTAAAAGTGTGGTGGACGTCTCTTCTTGCCGCTTTGTCCTCCATGAGCGACTCCGAGAGTCTTGAGGGCCTATGGTTGTGCTGGCAGTGGATTGGGTTTCCGAATCCAAACCATGGTTCTGCCTCTCTTCGCCTTGCTCCGTTGGATCATTGGCTTCATCATCGTCTTGCATTATAGCCTCTAAATGATAGTCCTGGTCTTCTGACTCTCCCGCTTCCTCCCTTGCCCTTCTGTCAATTTGAGTTGGTGTAGCTGGACGGTCTCTGTTGTCTTGCTCATTTTCCTCCTCTTCGTCCCCATTGTCACCATTCTTATTATTTTTGTTCTCCTTTTCCTCTTCCGCTTCTGCTTCGGTGTCACTGTGCTCGTTCCTTTGCCACTTCTTCTCCTGCTCCTCCTCCCACTCCTCCTCTTCTTCACTCTCATCGTTCTTTCTCATCTCGCCTTGCACTTCTTCGTCATCTTCTTGATTGCCTTTGTCTCTCCTGTTCTCCACCTCGTCTTTCTCCTCCTTCACGTCACTATTTGCATTATATCTGTTGTTTCTATCATCCTCCTCCTCTCCGAATTCGTCCTCACTTAGGTCTCCCTCAACAATGTCTCCGTCTGCAGCCTCCCCCTCCTGAGCAGTTGCAGGTGGTGAACTAGACGACCGCCCCCGCTGTCGTTGAGGCCGCCTGGTCGAGGTTCTGACCTCCCTCTCTTCATAGTCTTCCTCTTCATAGTCTTCCTCCTCTTCGTCTTCTGTTTCTGGGGTATCTTCACTAATTCTCTGTGTTGAACGTGAGCGTGGGGACGAGGAGCGGCCTCGGCGTTGGCTGTTCGCGCTTGTGCTCCTTCGGGGCTTTTCCTCTCTGTCCGCCTCGTCATCATCACTCTCATGTGTAGGCTCTCTGTCACTGTATTCATCACTGTCTACATCTTGAGAGTGTTGCTTTGTGGTTCTTCCACGCTCTGCTTCCTCTTCAAGGCTGTCCGCTGCTGCGTCTGCTTCCTCCTCTTCTTCTTCCTCTTCACTTTCCCTCCGTTTGCGAGGGTCACCTGATGTGCGGCGCCATTTCCTCCTATCGCTTCTGTTTTCGGTTTCTGGATGTTCCTCCGCCTTTTTCTCGTCTTCACGGTCGTTTTCTGCCTCCTGTGCGTTTTCGGCTGTGCGTCTACGGGGGCTACGATGTCGGTCAATGCCTGAAGCTGTAGCGTTCTCCCCTTCCTCCAATGCAGTTATCTCGCTTCCCAACGCGCTCCGCGTTCTCCCTGTTCTTCTTGAAGAAGCAGCAGAGCCGCTCCCCTCACGATCACCGTCTCCTCTGCTGGAGGGCCCACTGCGCAATTTGGGTCGATCACCGGAGGAACTGCTGCGACTGGCTTGGTGTGCTTCTTGTTCGCCGTTTTTCTCTGTTTTTGAATTGTTTTCGTTGCCATTGTCTGCAGGGGGCTTCGGGTCAGGAGGGCCAGCTCGATATATCTTCAACACTTGGTTGCTGCGCGTTTGGAACACAGACTCTTCTGTCGTTATTTCCCGTGGGTCTATAAGACGAGGGGCCACCAGATGCGTCATGACGATCATTTCTTCGACCCACTCTTTTCGAGGCATCCAGTTCTGTCCTCACAACGAAACGCATCGAGGGACACTTAACAGTTCTTCTCTGAGTTCAATGGACCATGTAACCTGCTGCCTATTCCCTAAGCCCTGAACACTGAGCCCTAAGTCATAATCTACATGTTCTAGATCCTTAGATTTAGATGGTGCGTCGCTGCACCGTGAATTCGGGAGCTTAAAGTGGAGTCATTTGAGCTTAGATCTGGGTTTCAAACCACATCTATACAGCAAATGTGTCTGATTGCGTAGCTCACCATCTTAGCCAAGTCATCCATTTTGACGTCAAGTTTTGAAAGTGCTTCGTCAGTGGGTGCGAAAAGCGTGATTGCCAACCGGGTGATAATGGAGTCACCCTTAGTTAAGGGATTGGACTCCATGGCCTTCGTGAGGAGAGTGAGGTCGGGTTCATTTTTCATAGCCTCCAAGGGGCCTTCCTCGACTTCCTTCCAGCCTTGAAGAGGAGGAAGCGTGGTTGTTGACTTTGTTGTTGTCGTTGTCACCTCTCTTTTTGTTGTCGTTGTAGGCACCGTAGGTTGCCGGGTTTGGGTTGCTGAAGTCTGTCGGGTATTGTTTGTTGTTCTGCTAACTGAATCAACGTTCCGTGGCCGTCGTGGTGAGGGAATATCTTGAAGGAGACGCGGGACAAAGGTGGAGACGCTCGCCTCCTCTCTACGTGCTTCAGGTCCTTCAGGACTTTTTGCTGGTGTTTTCTGTAATGCGCCATTCGGATAAGCCTGCATGAACGTTAACGCTCGGCTACTTGAGCCAGTGCTCTCAGCTGATAACTGAGGGCCTTTGGCCGTGTAAGCCTGCCAGTATTTATCCTTTCTGGTGGAAATCTCAGAAAAAGATGAAGCGAGGGAGAGAGGGTCGAGAAAATATCTAAAGAAGGAACGGCTGAGAGAGGCTCCTGCTGGGATATGGGTTGATTCAAGGGCTTCTGTTCTGGAACTCCACTCGGTTTTTTTTTCTAGTTCTGTTGAAAGGCCTTCATCTGAAGCAGAGGGCTTGAAAGCCACGACCATAACAAAGAGTACCAGGCACAGCTGGCGCCGAGGTAGGCCCCGCAGGTGACCCCAAAGTCTAAACGACCCCCCTCGAGCGCTCAGGGCGGCCCTCATGGGGATAACGCTCCATTAAAACTTAACTTTTAACATTAAAATCGATAATCAAGAATTCAAACTTACAAAACTGGCGTTAATATGGGGGTTCACTGCGCCTGAACGACTCGGCGGCGGAGTTTCAGCGGGTCAACTCATCGCCAGTGACGGGAAAGCTGGAATGCCAGGATTAGTCCCCGTGAGGGGATTCAAACTTAACTACCAGCAGACGCCAAATCAAGGCCCTGATTTGAGCATGAAGTGAATAGCACAAACACTCACATCCATGGAGAGACAAGGGGCGGCCGCCCGACGAGAGACGCCGCCGAATCAGCAGTGGCAGAGTTCCCTGTAGAGCATTCTGCCGCCACTTTGGTGAGCTTTCCCTGTTGAAATACAAATATAGTATGTACAGTTATATCAAAAATTGGACAATTTCAACATAAACCCGGCTCAGTAGCAGCACAGGTACGGCCGCACACGGCGCGTGGGGAGCCAGTGGGGCCGCCGATTTCTCGTCATTCTATGGATACCCACTGTTGGGTGTCTTTTGCAATAAGCCAGCTCATGTATGGACTTTATTTGCACAGTGTATGGATAATAAATATTTGTATATATGGCGGGTGTGCGCCCCCTGGGCACAGATCGTGCTGCCCACGAGCATAAGCACCAGTTGGCAGCAGCAGGCGCAAACAGTGAGTGGCTCCTAAGTCCGTCTTCTGTCAAGCTTCAACGGTCTGTATGCAGTTTTTAATTCTTAATATGGTAAAATCAGCCTGTACCAACAAGTTCACCTTCTTTAGTGTCCTAACGTGGTCGTTTGCGTCTGTGGTAGTCCACAAGCTGTCGCGGCGACCACGAGAATTGGATTGTCATCATCCTTCTTTTCCAGTTATACTGTCGGCTTGTCTAATTTCGTTGTGGTAGTGCGCTTTCTGGCTCTCTTCTGGGTAGGACTGCTTCGTTACACAGACTGGTTTCGCAGAGTCTTTCTCGCCCAGAAAAAGAACTCATTGAGCCTTCCCCTCTAGTATTCCGTCCCATCAGTCTCTTCTGTGCAGCTTCGCTATCCATGCGCATCATCAATTTCTACATCCCAAACATCAGGACAACCACTTCTTAATAATGTATATATCCACCAAGGCTCTCTGATGCCCCCTTACGAGATCGTCTCCACAGCGAATTCCGTTGGCGGGGACCACAGAATGCCCATAAAAAATGGGGAGGACGCATTGGTCCTTCCTGCATGCATGACACTTCGCTTGAAGCCATGAATTTTGTAGCATTCATTCTCATTTTTGGAAGTATTACTATCCCCTTCTTAGCACCAATATCTCGTTCGAGGCTGTGATCTATTTACATGCTGCATGCTGTGGCTGAATGTGCGAGGCTACTTCGCCTGCCCTTGAGAAAATAACGTCCAAATTCCTACCATCTCCAGCTCCGTCAAACCCAAGGATGCAATTGGGACGGAACACCCAGCAACTTACTGAGGTCCGCCCAGTCCCCTGCTTGCCTAATGGGGATGTGCTTCCGTACTTAAGGGATATATTGCGAACCAGCTAGAAAAGCTAGCTAGCAAGGCATATTGCGAAACCATGTACGGTAGAGCATCCAACACCTTTAAATACTTCATGGCAAACGATAAAAAAACTGGCAATTCCCTTTACTACTGGTGTCTGCCATCACAACTCGCAGCTCTGGGCCCCTGGCTCTCGTCGAGAGAAACAAGACTCCACCTCAACTCCCCCGCCTCCTTACCAGCAAGGTGAAATGTGCAATACTGAGCTAGCAGTGCTTGTGGATTTGTCCAGTGTTGCTTGAAACGCAGGTATAATGAGCTCGCCAGGTAGCTTGGTGGCTATTCTACTGCTGCTATGGCACACCCGTCCCGCCTTGCTTGGTCACAAGTAGGTCCACCTGCACTCTCGTAGCCTTCCGCAGAGTTTCAGGGGCCCGCAATGCGAAGAAGGCGAAACAAGGGAATAAAAAAGGAGCAGACAGTCTCCGATGGATGCTTCCGATGTCTGCTCGTGCGTTGGCTGGGGCTTGGTCCAGAGACGTGGCCTTGAAAGGAAGCGCATGTACGCTCCATGCAGATTACATCTGCCTTGCCAATACTTTCAACTCTTCTTCAGATGGAACAACTAACAAGTGTTTCATTAACAGCAAATACGCAACATGATAGTCGCTGCGGCCTCCTGCGAGATCAATAGACTCCCAAGGCACTTCTGTCACTTTATCGTCATCGAACTTCCTCCACATGACGACATTCTTTTGTCGTTTTGCAGCTGGGCCTGAAGTCGTTTCTTGCTCTTCTTCTTTTTTCTTCTCCTGGCTTTCAGCAGTTGAGGGCTGCTGGGGAGCGTCTGCTCCTCCTGCTCGAGCCCAACCGACGTAATGTCCGCTGTCAGCATAGCGGCCCTGGTGTGTCACGACACTCAACAGTTCATATGTTCCAGTAGGGCACGGCTTCCCTGCAAGAAGCAGTAGCTCAGCTTCCTTTGCTGCAACTGCCTCCTCATTGACATGCACTTCGGTCTCCACTGTAGAGGGCGCTGCCGAGCCGTCAGCGGCAGCACTGTTGCTGCCGTTTGCTGGCGCTGGAGCAGTAACCGCAGAAGTCGGAGCAGCAGCAGCAGGAGTTGCAGAAACACCAACATTGGAAGACGCTTCTCTTTCTCGGCGCAAGGCAACGATTGCCCGACCCACTTTGAAGGAATCCTGCAGCTCCTGCGGAGTGCAGTTTCACAAAAACATACAACGAACATCACTGTTCGAAAACAGAACGTTGGGAGATACAGGAATTGAATACAACGTAAAATCTGCAACCCCCGTTGGTAGTTCTAAGCCAATATTTCATAGAACCAACACAGACAGTTCAACGGCTCATACCAAATCAAGAAGACTTGCTGCTTCTGGTTCTCGCGCATTTGATTACAAGCACAGTTGCAAAAAAGAAACAGCACACCACGCCATAGCAACCGCAGTGCAGCATCCCTTTTGAGACGCCTATCTAGTGGCAACTGTCGTCAGATGCATATTTGTCCATTTTCTCTATGATTCAGCAAGATATTCCGCAGGAATCACAAAACCTCAATGGCATTCCTCGTTAATAATATGCCCCAAATTATATTTTGCTGTTACATGAGTTACCCACCTTGGTGCAGAAAGGATACATATCAAGGGTTTGTCCGAATTTGACGCTGCGGCATATTTTGGCCTTCTCAGATTCTGTTCCTCCCACCTTCCACTCAAAGCGCATAAAGTGAAGGATGAGGTACAGTGCAAGGCTCTTGATTCGGTTGGTCCTGATAAGCGTTTCTTCTGCTGTTGTTGCATCACCCCCCGATGGTGCTGCTCCTGCAGCAGCTGCTGCACTTTTGCTGCCGCCGACCTGCACGACTTCGTCTCCGAGAGAGAACTTGAGGCTTTCTTCCAGGCTGCTCACAGGTTTCTGTGGGGTGCCCAGGAAGCACGTGAGTTTACGGTGTTTTTCTATCTGCACAGTGGAGCTGCCTTGTTTTTCGCCGTTCTCTTCATTTTTGTTTCGATTCGAAGTAACTTCGACCTGAACCCCAAAAAGCATATCTAAAGCAGAAGAAGAGCTCCCAGCCAACGGCACGTAAGCCAGGGACTTCGATAATTCCGTTGCTGTGCCTCTGTCCAGACTCTCCGCAATAGCAGACATCAAACAACTCAGACATTCCTCCGCGTCCTGTTGCATCGGGATGCCCGTCGTGCCTTAGCAATAAACAACAAACAACGAGCAGCAATATCGACAACGCCACGGGTGATCTACAATCCCTGAAACTCAAGAATTGCAACCCCTATGAAAAAACCTACACGCCTATATATATAGGGTTAGGGTTAGGGTATATATATCAATAATATATATCAACAGCTATGCCCTCCAATCCTTCCCTACCTCTGAACAGCACTCATCTGCTCCCCCCAAACAGATGATGAAAAGGAAGTATAATGCTTATATGTGAAACAGGACCACGAGCAAAAACAACAATATGTGCACCATGTGGCTTTTATGAACTATTCTTTACACTATCGAGAGTAAATGCCTGTACAACCCATTTAAAACAAATGACCTACCTGCTTGGGAAGTTGAACGTCTTGAGAATTGAGGATAGGCCTCTCGCAGGGCAGGCACCTGAGAGTGCAAAACTCTAAGCTTTTGAGACTAAAACCCGGCACCCAAATCGCAACGGAAGCTGCCCCTGTGGGAGGCCTAACGGTAGGGCCATTCACAAACATAGATAACAAGAAGCGCCTAGGAGAAATGAAACGGCGACGGAAGAAAGTAAGCAAGAATACAACATACGGTGAACGGCAAAGGAAAGGGAAGGCACACACAACAAATCCTACACAGCAACGAGAAGAGACTTGCAAGCGACAACGGCAGCAATAGGCAACAAGCAACAACCAATATACGACAGGAAACACCAATCAATACACAGTAAACGACAAAGAGCATACACACAGCAAACAAGCAACGAGAAGAAAAGCACAGGCAGGGAGAACAAGGGCAGCATACACCCTCCAAACGGTAATAAAAGTTACCAAAAGGAATGGTGAAACGGGCTCGATGGTCTGTTGCCACTGGTTGTAGAAGTCCTTGAGAGCCAACGCCAACCGTCTTAGTGCTCCTTGTTGTCCCGTAGCAGCAAGCTGAGCGGTTGATACATCTCCTGAGATATGTGTCTTTACAAGAGAAGAAAAGTCAGTGGCGGGGCGCAGCATTTGAAGTACAGAGGCTAAATAACAAGTATTCCCCAGGTTGACAATCCCCTGAGAACAGCAGCAGCAGCCACAAAATAACCCTAAGTAACAATACACCTTACACCGTAAACAAGTCGCGGAAGAGGAGTTCCAAGCAGGGAGCAGAAATACAAGAGGAAAGTCAATATGTACCCACAACGTACCCTAAGTCACTCATCCCCCAATCCAATATCATAACACTAAAACCCTAAATCGTAAACCCTTCAATTCTCACATTAGGGAGAGGTTCAACTTTTTTCTCTCGCAGCAAGGCGGCCTGCTGCGCAGGCGTGAGGTCCTCTACGAAAACTGTCTTCTCTGGAGGAGGCATCGCCTTGATTGCTTCTTCCGCAGTTCCCATGAGCATAATCTTGGGACAGCCACTTGCAGCAACTGCTCTTAAATCCGCATCTCCCTTGATGGTCTTCCCCTTGCACAACAGCTTCTGTCGGTCAACAGGTACACCGGTCAGTGTGCTGCGACAGCATAGGGGAAGTGCAACGAATGCGTATGCAACAACAATGTGCTGGAGTAAGAGATAAAGAATAGCACGTACTGCAACACTGCACAGGCCCTTCCTCAAGCCCTATTTCAAAAGCTTAAGTCATGCAACGAGTGCTACACTGGGAGAGTGCCGTGGAGGGGAGACAATGAATATCTGCTAAGCAGCTGGAAAACTGTTCTGGGGGCAAGCGATAATAGATAATTTCGCATTTAATGAGGCTTCAACTGCAGTCCCCGGGTATATAGGGGTTAATCCATGGTTTAGGGCTTATGGTCAAGGGTGTGATCGTTGCGTGAGGGCCCCACTAGAGCTGAGCTTGGAATACTTCGAGGGGTTCATTGAGGCTAATCTGCACACTGAAGGATTTGGTGCCCCATTTTACTGCAGCCTGAACCTCCGAAGCTGTCATTTTGCAGCAAGAGGAACGCCTGAGCTAGGAGGGGCGGGAAAGGAGAAAATGGGAGGAGGAGGGCTATCTGAAGTGCGTACGAGCCCAAATGCTGCGTGGATATCAGCCAAAAGAAAACAATGAGGTGGAACTAATAACAAGTAAAAATAAACGAAAATACATCCCACGATCCACTTGCTGGCATGCAGCAGCCGAACGGCAGCTCGTGCTGGATGGAAGAAGCCCTTGGGTGTACGTACAGCACGCGCTTCCCTTTGTGCTGGAAATTTGACTGTAAATCATATTGAAGGGCTTCTTCGAAGTATCTAAACATTTTCGTGGTATTATATACATTTTTCTGTTCGTGCACAGTGGTTGAGGAAACCATCGCAGCCACTGGTCGGCCGTCAGCAACTTGATCTACATGTGTTAGAGGCAACACACTTACTCTAGCTCCCTTTCTTATCTGCTCTCATCTCACCCCTTATTTTATTTAGTAAAAGAGACTAGTAATTAGTCACAGACAGAGCGAGGGAGGTATCGTCATGCCTACCCTACTTCAGTTACCTACTAGCACAACGACAGGCTCGCGTGCAGAAAATAGAGTCGAGTTTTGCTCTATTTGTGAGCGTTGAGACCAAAATGAATGAAATAACCCGTAGCCGTTTAAATGTATCCAGCTGGCTGTTTGTACGCGATTCATAGGAAGAATACCGTGCATCCACAAGTTGCAACACCTTCATTCGGTATCGGTCCCATTCTGGGGGGTTGTCATCAACTTCCCCGTGTAGTTGAGGGCCATTGTGAGTAGCACCTGTATATTTAGGCATAGTTCACCAGTAAGAGCTTTCATAGACCCCTCATCTTCGCCGCTCACAGAACAAAGGGAAGAATGTGCTGAGCAGCCAGCTGGCAATATGGCGAGAAGCGTCCAGCAGCTAGGGATTTGCAGGTACATGCATGTACAGGTGCAGAAACACATATGTAATGGCGTGTTCGTGTGCAGGTCCAAGATATACACCTTTCTGCATCTTCTCGACCGTTTCTACTATCATCCCTTTCTTCATTGCACTATTTTCCTTCATCTCCGCTCTTTTAGGTGTAACGGGCATCCATTCGATGCGTTTAAAAACTATTTTGAGCTCGCTTATTTATGTGTGTTTTTGCATGCATGCCTTCATTGATTAACGTCACGCAGGTTTAACGAAATAAGAAAAAGGTTCAGCAAAGTTGCATAGCGTGGGTATTTTATGTTAAATAGGGCTTCATTGTTTGGATAGTACTGTACATTGTATGGCACACTGTCCATATAATATGTATACCATGCCAGTCATACATAAAATTGTATCCACATATCTATTCTTCACATTTGTGTTTAATAACCAAAGAAGAACGTTTCTGTGATCAATCCACACTCTGCCCCTTTTGCCTCTACTCTTCACGTTATAGACAAACACAATATATAGGCTATGTAGAATAAAATATAGAATGCATATTTATCTACGCAGACATGAAGATATGTTATAGGCCTAGATATTTGTAGAAAAAACGACAGAAGTGCAAGTAAGAAAATATTGTTGTACCCTTGTCCAACAAGACTCCATTAAGCATTCTTAAACCACAGGGGTTTTGTGAGCTGTTATTAAGGTATTACTCAACGGAATTCCTATATAAGACGCATAAGCCCCATGAACTGTACTCGGAACACGTTACACGCACGTCACACACATTATATATACGAATACGTATGTATGGACATATATGCACATGTAAGGTAGAAGTATGCTCCATGGAGGTCAAACAGGCAATTCAGCTTGTGGAAAAGTTGTCGACTAACGCGGATGCCGCAAGTGAAGACAAAGGAACCACAAGCGCCAAACCGACGAAACTCTCAGTAGGCGACGATATTGTTACAGTTTGCTTAAACTGCTCTAAGCACTTAATAAGACTGGTTCAATTGCTTTTGTAACGGATTGTCGGAGGGCGGCAGGAGGAATGCACCTTCGTACCAACGTGAGTCACAACGATCATTGGACTTCCATAGGCGTATGAAGAACCATCTGCTATTTAAGGCAGTACACAATCGATTAAGGCTCTGTGAGATGACAAAAAATATATGAACAAATAAGATATTCTTTTTTAGTTTGGTATTTTGACGGGCTGTAGAAGTTTTCCTATTGCTGTATCCTTGCAGCAACGAGTAGAAGTACAGCCTGCCACCGCATCGCAACGGTATTTGCCTGCTTCTCATATTCATGATTAAGGCATTTTCAACGTTGGAACAGACATTACGGAATTACATTAGTTGTTGCGTTCAATATTTCAAAATGTTTCGCTGAAGTGGTGACATCGAAGCTGCATTGTGCGGTTGGTCTGCTGACGGACCACCGCAGCGGCCATCGTGTAGCCCGTTAGTGAAAAGTAGATACCTGTTCTCATGCGTGGGATTCTATAGAATACATATTGGGTCAGGGGCTTTTGCCTATTGAATATGAATTTTGTAAGGGTAATAAGAGTTAGCATTGAAAGAATATCAATATTTCTCTTCTTTGGATGATAAACACCCAGCCCCTCAGGCGTTTCGCCTCGGGTCACCCACAACCTGTCGCTGCGTTCGCCGTCTATCCATGCCAGTCGCCCGCCTCTGCTCTTTGCTGCATGAATGTTTTCTTCTGCATTTTTGAGTTCATTAGAGAGGCAGAAAGTAATTGTTTCCGTTTTTTTTTGTGTGGTTGCTGCGTTGGCGTTGGTGTCCCATTCATAGCCGCAGCAGCAACGAACAAACAATGACTCGGTTCGCGGCGTGCGTCCTTGCAGCCGTGCTTTTTGCAGCGGGGCCCTCCTCAGCACTTCCAACTCCCATAGGAGATCCTTTCCGCCGCCTGGGTGAGATGGAGACTTACCAAACAGGCGGAGAGGGCCCCTCCCCCAACCCCACCCCCAGTCCTCCAGCTGAGGGCAGCTCCTCCAGCACCTCCACTGCAGCACCTGATACAGCCCAACAATGGTTCGAGGGATTTAACAGGGCGGTGCAGAAGCAGTTGCAGCTGCAGGAGAGCCTCATGCGGCAGTTGATGGAGGATATTCAACAGTACCTCAGCGAAGCACTTGGCTGGAACGAGAACGGGTCCTCTGCTTTAGAAAGGGTGAATGCGATGCTAGAGATGATCAGCAGCCGCATGGCTATCACTCGTGAGGCAGCAACAGAGATGGCAATTGGTTCATCAGAGACAGAGGAGCAGGCTGCAAGGGAAGCCACTCAAAAGTTCATGAGGGAAGTGAGAGTGCAAGATATCGTCGTGGACGCCCTATGGGCTTCTCTCCGGGCTGTACAGACATCCACCTGGATGAGCGGCATCACAGGACAAGTGGAGGAGAGCGATGTATTCAATGCAGCGAATCGGGCAGCAGAGGAGTTCTTAGTTCGGATGTACCACAATCTCAGAGCTGCAGGCATAGCGGAAGAAGATATCGTGAAGTACGTACCTAAAAATGCTATTGAAGAAACGACAAGCAGCCCCACACGCAACATGGGCAGAAAAAGCAGAGGCTACTATCACTACAACTACGGCTATAACTACGGTTATCGATATCCCCACTACAGCTACTACTACACACACCCGCAGCCTTTCTACAGCTATCCTGTAGCGGCGTATCCTAGATACATGCACAACTACAGCTGGGGCTACCCTGTGTACACCCCTTCCGACTGGGGTAGTGCTCCATGCTTTAGCAGCAGCTGCAACGACTGCGGCAGGGGCCCCCAACCCGAGCCCCTAGTACATGAACATGAGATGTTTCACCGTGCTTTAGGCGAGGAAGACCCCACGATGATGGGGGCACATGGGGCCCCAAACCCTTATGTCTACGGCACGCCGATGATGCAAGATGCCTACGGCACCGGCCCTGCTATGAGTGCGCAAGGCTACAACAACGGCTACCCAAACTACGGTTACTACCCATCTTCTATGAACCCACGTTTTAACGCCGCCACTACCGCTGCTACAGGAAACATGAACTACTCACAACAAAGCCCTGCCGCACCCATGGGGCGCATGGGCTCCCTCGGCTCTCCTTATGGATATACTGTCACCCCAAACAGCAGATACCGACCATCAACTTTTCCAGTGCGCAACCTTGGCATGTGGGAGGGTCCTGAGCCCATGATGGAGTTCATGCCTTTTGGAGCCGTCGAACCGTGAGCTCTTGCTGCTGCTGCTGTTGTTGGTCTTCCCCTTGTTACTTGTTGCTGCTGCCCCTGTTGGGTCTGATGCTGTTGCTGCTACTGCTGCTGTTTCATTTGCCATTTCTGCTACTGCCACTGATGTTGGTTCCACTTTTACTCCACTTTTACTGCTGTTGTTGCTTCTCAAGCTTTTGGTGTTAGTACTAGTGGAGCCTGTACGACGATGCAGACAGTAAGGGGCCTGGTGAACTAACCTGCTGGGAAGCGTTAGACTTAAGGACTTCAAACGCTTATCATTAAAGGCATCGTTCCGTTGTTCCTGTTGTGGTTGTACAGATTTTTCTTCTAGACTGTCTCAAGCATTTAAGACCTAAACGCCAAATGGAGCATCAAGCTGGCTCCTGATCGCTCTGTGGAGGGGCCTCGTAGCTGCTGTGCTTCCAGCAGGGCAGCACTGTGTCTAATGGTGACACTTATTCATATAACGGTTTCTGCAATTTATGCAGAATGCAAAGTACGCATAATTTATAGGTTCCACTGCCTACAACGAACAGTGTACTGTGTATAACTCCAACTTTCACGCTTTATTTCTTTTCGGGATAAGCATCTACTTGTTGTGCCGGCGTGTTTTGAAAAGATATGCATACTTTGTTGCACCGCTTTACTACACATGGGTTGACCTACAGCTGCATAGGTGCATCTAAGGATTTCTGCGTGCACTTATGAAGCTACAACAGAATTCAACCAGAGCCAGAAATGCCTAGATTGTTAGAGGAATGATTAAGGTAGTTCGTTCGCTGCTAACCAGATCTACGCAGATCTCACTGGAAAGCTTGAGCTACGTAAACCCTAACCTCCTGATGTACTTTTCGTCTGCATGAGGGTTATTCTCGCTGCACCCCTCTGTAATTCGGAGCTTGAGAGCCAAGTATAAGGCAGTTTTTCAGCCCCTCCGGCATATGGGTTGGCAGACAGTGAACATGGGCCCCCCTACCTAAATAGTATTGCCCTTTAGAGGCAAGCGGGGGTCTATGGCTGTTTTGAGGGGCAGCTTGTTTCCGTGTTTGGCTCTTTTTCTGTTGCCCGATAGTACTGGGCTTTTTCAATTCTTTAGTTGGTACTAGGTGTTGGCTTCGGTGCATCACTTTCGCTTGGTTGCAACTACCGCTTCCCCCGTAAATCTGTTCATTCTCCTTATTAGCAGCTAGTTCGAACTATTTGTCACGAATAACAGACGGGAAATCGAATTGTCATGCGAACCATCTACGCCAGTGCCAACTCGCTGCAAGGGATGAGGCATTAAATATATTTGTCACAGCGGAAGCCAGTGTTGCGACGAGCACGCATCTCAAGCGCACGCCAACTGCTTCCCATTGATGTCACGTGTCTTGTTTGGGACTTGTGCAAGGCGACGAAATAGCAAATAGAGGGCACGAATTGTTCGCCTTTAGATGCCCTCAATTTCAGCTCATTGGACAGTTAGGGAGGATCAGGTGTAAAATTGCACCCCGTCATCCTCTGAATCAAGACAATTGACTGACTTCTGACACGAATATACCATGAATATGCTATAAAAAGAGGAACACATAATAGTAGGAACATTAGATGCGGTTCTTGCTGTCCCCTTAGAGATATGTGCAGGACAGGTGTTTGTTCATGAAATGCTTCTTTTTTGTTTTAAGCTACACCTTTAAAAGTGTAGGATACAGTCCTGTCGAATTTGCAGTGACGAAAGAACGCGAGAACACTAGAGAACAAGATTATTTAAGGCTGCTCAACAACGCGTGTAGGTCACCACACTCTGGGGCTCCCACTCGTGCTCACGAGATACCTTTCACCATGTAACACATGTATTATATCTAAGTATTTGTTATTATGGAGAATTTCAATGAGTACTGCTCTTTTAGGTGTTGAAAGGCGTGCATACTTCACAAAGGTCTCGTCGTGTTGCCGAACGAACTGCGCACACGACGGCAGCTGTTCGTACAACTGTGTTCCACTCTCTTGAACTTGAAACACCTTTTCAAATATTAAACTAAATTTAAAAAGCATTATTTTCTAGAACTCGGAGGTGTTTCTAACTCCGAAGAACAATCAACAAGCGGCTTCCACCGCCTGGTGTATAGCAGTAGGTCCAGATGGCGCGGCCGTCACGTTGCGTGAAACCCCCTGTGAAACCCCAAATTTGGGTTTCAAACACAAATGGATAAGGCAAAAGTAAATTAAATTTGAATAAAAATCTATCAACAGAGGGCGCGGCGGAGAGACGAGACGCCGCGTTCCCCGCCCGCGCGGGGCGGCGAGCGCTTACCTGCCTATTTCTATCATTGCATTTGTTTCCCCTCTTGAGGGTGGCAGGGGGAAGCAAATAGGTATATTTGTGACGTTTGTGATGGTCAGCAGAACATAGGGAGTTCATCTGTTCCTTCTTTTCATCATTTATTCCTCGTTTCTCACCGTTTTATTTTTTTGTGTAACCCTCTCCGCTGTTGAGTCCCAATGACCCGCCTCGGCCTCGCTGCTGTCGCGCTGGCTCTCGCCGTGGGCCCTTCCATGGCAGTGCCCAGCACCACTCCTGTTGAGAACCAGGTTCACCCTTACAGCGAGATGAGTACCTACCAGGAGGGGAGTGCCCCGGGGGCTCCGGAGGACACCACCACCACCACTACGTCGTCCCCTGTTTCCGATGGAGCCGAGCAGTGGCTTGAGAGCTTTGTTCGTGCTGTGCAGCGCCAGCTGCAGCTTCAGGACCAAATGATGCGTCAGCTCATGAGGGACATTCAGGAGTACCTGAGCACTGCGTTCAACTGGGCAGAGAACCAGTCTACTGCCTACACCCGTGTTACCGAGATGATGGACATGATCTCCAACAGAATGAACGCTGCCATGGACAGCTCAAACGAACTCATGACCACTAGCGACACCACAGACCCCGAGACCCTCCGCCGTGCAACTCGCAAGTACATGAAGGAGGTTCGCGTTCAGGACGTCCTGGTAGATGCTCTCTGGGCCTCTCTCCGCGGTGTACAGACAGCTGCCTGGATGAATGGAGTGACCGCTATTGAGAAGGAGGAGACGACTCCCATGGCTAGCCGCGCTGCTGAGGAGTTCCTCCACCGCATGTACCATAACCTGAGGGCAGCAGGTATGTCTGAAGAAGATGTTGCCAAGTTCATCCCTAGAGCCGAGTACAACCCCTCCGAGCAGTCAAGAAATATGGGCAGAAAGGGCAGGAGCTTCTACTACGGCGGCTATCCCAGCTACTACAACTCCCCCTACTACAGCTACAGCAGCTACCCCAGCTACTACAACTACAGCTACCCGTCATACAGCTACAGCAGCTATCCCAGCTACTACCGCTACAGCAGCTACCCCTACTACAACTACAGCTATCCCAGCTACTACAACTACGGCAGCTACCCGTACTACAGTTATAGCAGCTACCCCAGCTGGTACTGGCGCCGTCTCCGCTCTTTGGCAACAGCAACTTGCCCAGACTGCCCTCCTCTCACCACTCCCAGCATGATCCCAACTCCCCCCCCAATGATGAACATGATGAACACCCCACCCCCCATGGCAAACATGATGACCAGCATGATGATGAACACTCCCATGGTTCCTCCTCCCCGCACCCTCGGAACTGAAGCCATGAGCCTCGGCTTGGCCCCCATCGGTATCACCGGCGCCCCCATGACAGGTTTCGGTGTTCCTCCTGAGTTCGGTCCCTTTGGAGCCGAAGGTATCGGCCTCCCCACCGATGCCCTCGGCAGCACCCCCGAAATGACACCATTCGACCCAACTACCCCCTACAGAAGTCTCGCCCCCATGGACCTCCCCCCCATCCCCCCTCCTGTCTTCCCTGAAACCCCTATGAGGCCACCTACTCCCTTCGGCTTCGGACCTGCACCTGTTCCTCCGTAAGCTAAATCCTTTGCCCTAAACATATGTTTCGTAGGCGTAGAAACAAAGACCAGAGCCCTACGCACTAAACCTACGACCCGCAGGGATGACAGGTAGAACGCGTAAAAATACACAAATGTAGTAAGAGGGTCCGAAACGTCCTTACAAGCGCTATTTGCTGTGTAAGTTGCCGGTATTCTCGTGATTTTGAGGTATCTGCGTATTGGATGCTTTGTGCGTGTTCTGCAGCATGCCCTTCTAAACGACCTACCATCCCTCAATCCATAACTCACATTTCGTAGCCTCAAAACAGTTTTTTGTTCATTTCACTTCCAGGACTCATGCTGCGACATTTGCATTCATACCTCGAAACCGTCAACCTCAAACCCCAAACCATTCTGTGAACTCCCCTCGCAAACGCGGAAGGCGGAACATTTTTTCTGAAGTATATTACTACGTTACGTGTTGAGGTGGTTATATCCTTTCAGATCACCGGAAACATTGAATAGTAAACCCTCGTGCAAAGAATCTATTAGCTACATAGGGCTTAGTGCAGTGCATTTGAGTACATATTCTACAGCCGAGACATTTCGAGCTGCATACGAAACAGTAGCTATATTTATGGTTTAGGCTTAGGGGCATACGGTTTAGATGTCTTACCTGTAGTTACATCTTCTGCCTTTAGGGCTCGTTTCAGTAGGAGGCATGTGAGCTTTCTTGCCTAGTTTATCCGCTGTTGCTGCTTAACTGGCTTGGACACGTGGGCTTGCGCACATCGTACAATTGCCTACGCCAGTACCTAATAAACCCCGAACCTTGCAGAATGAGTATTCCGATATGCCTCCTGCAACAGACTCTCCGCCCCACCTTGAATACACTGGGGATTAGGGTTTTAGCTTTTTACGACGATTTGCCAGGGCAGCTCGTAAAATGTCTCAGCAAAATAACCGTTGAGCAACTGCTGTTCGTTGTGTTGCATCTGTCTAGTAGTCAGTACTCCACAAGGAGTTCGGTTTGTGCTGGATTATCTTCTTTGGAGATAAACCGGGCATTGCCCATTGGTGAAAGTACCTTCCCAAACTTATAATACGGTACAATGCATTTGAATTTCCGTTAGGTAGGGCTTTAGAATTTAGGGGGCTTTGTTCTTTGCTGTTGTAACATGTTAAATTCCATGACTTTTTATTGCGGCTAGAGTATCAAATGATGGACTTTGGCCAATTGGGACATTTTATATTTATGCGCTACGTGTGACCTCAATGGGTTGATTATAAAACGTATGCGATTTGTGGGGAGAGGCGTTATGCGGGCACAGGATTGTTTTGTACATGTTTCTACACGGCGACAAAGCCGCGCCGTAGACTACCCTGCAGTAGGAACGTCCACACATTATGAACGTGATGAACGTGAACATGGGAATGGATCCACTTTTCAATCCTTATATAGAATACTAGAGGTCATACAATTTCATCACATGCGAGTTCTCCTGTTCGGAAGTCGTTTTTTTGAGAATATGACTTCTCACGTTTGTAAAACTTTCCGACTTCATATATTCGTATATTTAACAATTCGTTTGCCCTCAAGTATGAACACATTCATGTTGAATACGCTGGAATAATAATACCAGTTCCTCCTAACAAACGAATGTTCACGTTCATTAATTTTATATTAAAACAATATACACACAATTATATCAAGAATTGTCTCCAAAGGTTTGGCCCGTTTGCAGTGGCTTCACGATCATCTCCTCACCGCGTGAAGATGAACAGCTCGAATAGAAGGCTGAAACTGCAGCTTTGAGAGGAAATAGTGTGATAAACCAAATAAAGCACACTTTTATAAAATACGAAGTTATTTTTTTAATTATGCATATGCATATTTCAGGGCTCAGCGTTGTGTTCAACACACGAGCTGCGTGTCATTTCTAGTGTGCATGAGTGAGCACGCAAAAGTCACCAAGATCTCGTGTGTTCCTCTCTCTGCTGGTAAACTAAAGTAATTTTTCCCCGAACATATCCATTTTAAGTACATCGAACAACATTTGTTTAACCTCTTTTGTTTCGTTTGCAGCAGCTTCGTGTGGGTGATGGTAGTGTGAGGTCACTTAGGCGTGCGACGGGTCCCAGTTCTCCTAACAGTTACCTTACTTGTCTACTTTGTCGAAATCGTCTAGTACCAACGATGCAGTGTGTTTATTTAGAAAGTGAATTCGGTGTGTTTGGTGCGTATGTATATAGATAGAGATAGAAAAGGGAAGAAGGCGAGCAACGCGTCGGCCGCCCCCCCCTTCCCGGCGGCGCCGTGCCTATCCGTCTCTTCTGCGTCTCCCTCTTCCTAGCTCCCCTAACTGATTCGTTGTTGCTGCCGACTACAGAGTACAGCTGAGCAGTAGACTCCTATCATACAAATCCTTTTTATCTGGTTCCAACACGCTCACTCAACCACCACCTGGACACACCCTACCCATACATACAGGAGCAGCAGCAACACCAGCATCAAGATGACGCGTGCGGCAGCGCTTGCCGGGGTTTTGGCCCTGGCTGCAGCAGGCAGCAGCCTTGCTCTACCTACCGTACTTGACACAACAACTGGCACCCAAGTGGAGTGGACTGAGACCCCCTTAGACACAACAGAGGTAACTATGGGGGAGATGGGCAGCACCACCAGCGGTACGACTCCAACCAGCACTGGTGTGCGAATGATGGAGGCTGAAACTACAACCCCATCAACCCCTGAGGCTCCCCAGCAGCAGCAGCAGATGCCTCAGCCTCAACCTCAGCCACAGCAAACAACTCCCGTTCCTGAGGCCGTATTAGAGGCAATTATGCAAGAAATGCAAAATATTTTCCGTTCTTCTCTTGTACCAGGTTGGGATACTGTCGGTACAGCAGCAGATGCTGTACGTCAGATTGTAACCCGTGTAAGAGAACGTCTTACAGGACCATTAATGATGACAGAGATGGATACTGGTCTTGGTAGAACAGGGCCTTTATCAACCACAGGTGCAACAGGAGCAACAACAGGTCCTGTTGCTGCATTACGCGGTGTAACAAATGATTTCCTTAGGGAAATAATGATTCAAGAAGCAGTACTTGAGACATTATGGGCAGTTGTACGTGATGCACAAGAAAGACCATGGCTAGTTAATGAACAGGAAGCATTGCATGCAGCAACAGCAGATGCTGTACAAGGTTTCCTTGGTCGCATGCATGATCGTCTTCGTGCAACAGGTTTCTCTGAGGAAGAAGTCATGAGACTTCTACCTAGGTCACGTAATGGTGGTTGTACCCGTACAGGGGGCCTCTTTGATCAATGTAACGATGCCCCTCCCTCTCGTCTTCTTGGTAAGAGGATGTATAGTACTGGATATTATGGTTATGGATATCCTTCTTATTATAGCTATGGATATAGTTATCCAGCTTATTCACATTATCCTGTTTCTTATCCTTACTATGGGTATAGCTGGGGCCCCTCATACTACTATGGCAGCGGATACTATGGTAAACATGGATATAAGTACGGACATTATTACAGGAGACTTGCTGAGCAGGAACCAAGACCTGTTATGCCTCCTGCAGCAGCAACTGCCGCAGCAAACCTAAGAGCAGCAGCAGCAGCAGCAGCAGAAGTACCACCACCACCACCACCAGCAGCAGTACCACCACCACCACCAGCAGCAGCAGCAGGTACCCCAGCTATGATGCCTCCTCCTATGATGGGTGTTGAAGAACCTGTTCCTTTCCGCTCCCTCTATCCTAGCTATAGCTGGAGTTATCCAGCATATACTCGCGTGTCTCCCTCTTATTCTTATTATACACCCTCTTATAGTTCTTCTTACTATTATCCCCGTTATAATTATGCCTATAACTATCCCTTATATTCAGACTATAGCTGGTATGATTATAGCTACCCCCTTGCCTACAGCAGCTATAGTAGCTACCCCCTTTCCTATAGTAGCTATAGCTACCCCCTTAGCTATACCTACCCTAGTGCCTTTTATAGAAGACTAGAGGTCCCTGATCTAACAACAACTACTACTACTCATCATGAGCAGCAGCAGCAGCAGCAGCAAGAAAGTACAACTACTGCTGTACCTACAGAAACCATTACTACTCCCTCTACTCGTAATACACACAGCAGCAGCCTAAGAAGAGTAGGAGAAAGATATGAGCCTATTACCCCTACACAAAGAACTTTTTATAATAATACAGAAGGTACTAACAACCCTGTCTATACACCCGAAAATCTTACAGAAGATGAACCACAAACTGTATGGGAAACATACAACTAAACCCTAAACCCTAAACCCTAAACCCTAAACCCTCAACCCTAACATTTCTCATTTTTTTATATAGAGAAATTTTAGGGAACACTAACCTGCCTGCCTTGCCATCGTTTATATATATCCATTTGTTTATTAATAAACAATTTTTATTTACCTCTAGTCGTCTTTTTATTAACAGCGCTTATTCGCGTTGTTTATACAAACTACTATTTTTACCCAATAATACTTGTACAGGCATTTTTTATTATATGGATGTATACATGAGGAAATAAAATAGTTTATTTTATTTATTGTAGCTATACTATTATTTAGCTATACATAGTAATTAATTATAGCATATATATTCCTAGTTGTTACTGTATGCAACAGATAGTAGCCAAGGAAAGAGATAGGGCAGATACAAGAAAATACCTCTTAGTTGCATCTATGATGGTATTTAGGTGTATAATTAGGTAATAACGAACAAATATAAATAAAGATGGGTATTAATATAAATAAAAAGGGATTAAAATTAAACAGACAACAATAGGGGAGAAGACAGAAGCAAAAGAATTGATCTTGTATATGTTGCACTAGCGTGTATTCTTATTGCCTTCTTCCTGCTGCATGCAGCAGCAATATTTCATGTTCCCTACACCCTAAAGGATTAATCTACTGTAATTATGTGCATATTCTCTCCACTACTAACTGGGGAAAGCTAAACCCTAAACCCTAAACCCTAAACCCTTAACCCCAAACCCTAGAACGGAACACTACAACCCCTAAATAGGCATAACGCTGTTCTGTTCTTTCTCTGTTTCTCTCTACCTTTGTCTAAACCCTAAACCCTTCTGTTGTTATTTGATTAAATAATAATAAATTGAATTAAAATGGTTAAATAAATAAAAACGAGTGTTTTTTTTTTTTTTTTTTTTTTTTTTTTTTTTTTTTTTTTTTTTTTTTTTTTTTTTTTTT